TCAGGAGCTGCACTGGCTCACAGGTTGAGTTTAAGACTGGATTCTTTTCAAACTCATTCACCATAGCGAGTCGGTACCACAGTGTCTCAAAGATCTGATAATGGTACATTCTTCTAACATTCAAACTAAAAGTTTTGATGTAGTTAAACTTAACTATTCAGTTATCTGTCCAAAGCCTTGTAGGACATATGAAAATCATGCTTTTATTGTTTACGCCCCTCTGCTGAGGAACAGGTTGCTGGTTTTCTTAGAAATATTGACAATTTAGGGACTTTAAAATCACAAATGAAAGACTTTCCCTTTTCAAAGATTTAAACCTTGAATTTGCTTAGTTTTATTTACTGTAAAGTTTGTGCGTGGCATGTTGACGTATCGTCTAACTTGGTTTTGAATTGAACATTTTCATATATATATCGTACTATACATTTGCTAATTAATCATGAATTATATTTTAAATATTGTGGTTTGAAGCAGTTTGAGACTAACTCTGTAAAATGCTGTTTGAAGATGATTATTGTTATTACGTGCTGTGTTGACTTTTATCTCTCAACATGAGATTTCAGGGTCACTTGCATATCGCCAGTAAGTAATGAGTGTTTCTGAAATCGGTGATACAAGCATTCACAGCAGCCCATGTTTTGACATTTTTTCTGCCACAAATAGGAAAGTTGTCCAATATTTTCATGTTTGTTTCATTAGATTGTCTTGTCATCTGTTGCAATCAGGCTCATTTTGTGGAAAGCAAAGTGCAGTTTGAATTCCTCCGTGGACTGTAATAGGCTTGGACGGTATTGCCGTTTTAAATACCGTGGTATCCATGAAAAACTACAATATTTACTAATACCGCGGTTGCAAAGGGCAATGACGTCATCAAAAAGCAGCGGCAATGCTGACATTCTATGGCACACCACAAACAATACTAGGGGCCAGCATAAAGGGTTTTTAATGTCACAAAACCCCAAAAACTTAATAACTATTATAATTTATCTGTCCATTTTATGTCAAATAAATATTATATATGTGAAAGAATTTTTTTAAAAAGGGACGGTGTCTTAAATACCGATTTGTTGCTCCGCAATTCCTATATCTGTGTGGTCACTCGTAGGGTGTCAAAATCTGCACATGTACTACAGTCAAGTTGGTACTCGCTGAGACAGTGCATTATTGTAATGATGACGTGCAGGTCACCAGTGGCTGCTCCTCTTAGCTGTGCCCTAACACTGTGCGTGTGCAATGGTAAGGTGGCTTTCAGAAAACTCTGCGACGCGACAGTTGACTCTTATTACGAAATCAGTTGTTAAGAAATTCCAATTACAAGCACAAGTCTGTGGTCCTGGTGAAAACGTGCACATTTCATTGGGGGAAAAATATGTTTCAGCGAAATTCCTGGTACAATGAAAGGTTTTCGTGACTCCATTGCCTGAAAAACCATTGTTGACAACTCTTCATAAAGCGTTTGCGAATGGCCGTAGTGAAAAACATGTGCGCAGTGCACCAACTGGTTCTCGCCAGGCTGAACCGTTGCCAATGAAGGCATGATGGAAATGCAGCAACCAGTCAATGTACAGGTTCTGCCAAAAAGGGTCGTACGTTCCACTACATAGAATGCAGCTCTATAGTTGCAAGTCGAAAAAAAAACTGCCGTCACAAATTTTTCTGCAGGTTCATTCACAAATCATATCTGTGTTTGTATTTTCTGTGTTCATGAATTTAATTTGAGGTTGTACTGCTTTTACTTAAGCGTGCTTCCACAAATTTTCCAGTCGCGCTACACAAGGCTTATCACCCACCCCTCCATATGCATCAAGCACACTTACGATATATAGACATCGTTTGCCAGATTCCTGTTGTCACGACACGCATAGTGCACAATTAAAAAATCCATATTTTACATTGATTACTCAAACACCAAAACAAAAATTCCCATCCCATCTCCGATAAAATATGCCCCAAATAAGTTCGCATGACTATTCTCGTATCTCAAGAGTCCAACTAATCACCCAACACTGAATTATTCATATTGCTGCAAAAAGATCTAGTTTGCCCACCAATGAGACTGTGCGTTTTCATGACGTACATTTGGCAAGACACAGCTATCGAATCGCAGTACTTGTTCATGACATCATGCTTCTTCAGCGACCATCTCGTGCGCGGGCGGGCCCGCCACAGTGGGCGAGTGAACTCGAACTACCAATCAATCATGTTATGCAGCTTGTGTCAAAAATCAAAAGACAGATGAAAAATTAAACAAAAAATGTCTCTCCGTGACACACTTTGTGTTGGAAAGACTGCTTACATGGATGGGGGCTTTAGTTGATGAGCCTTCACATTCTTGCAGGTACATCCAGGCCTACATGTGCATGCAGGTTAGTTATTGTTGGCTTCATCATCATCCTTGGCGATTGAAAGTCTTTTAAAAATCCCTGGATCAATGCTTTCACATGTATTTGCATTTTTAAATTTCACATGCACATTAAACATGTTGTCCCATGACAGTGAAATTTATTATTCTAAACACATCACAAGATATTTGATTAATCATAACCGAGAGATCTTTTTGATCAACCACATTGTCCTAATTTTTCGGGACAAACTGAAATACAAGCAGTAACAAGTGAGGCATTGCATTTTTGCTTCTCGTTTCTTGTGGTTGAAACGAATGTGAGAACAATAAAAAAAATCATTGATTGCCGTGGATGTCGAACAGATGTAGATTTATGAAATCATTTTATAGTTTATAACACACATTCCTGGCTTCGGTTAGATAGATTTTCACACAATACTTTTACATTTTGTATATAAAGGACAAAAAAGACCCTAAGAGAGCACAAGGCTAGCACAAGCAGCATTCGCATTTTCTGATCCGCCAATACAAATCATTGGAAAATAAAGTCCAGTGTGGACATGGAAGACCAGCTGATTTTTAATTCCCAACTTGTAGGGTTGTGATACATGTACGCGTACACATGTGCCAGTGAGTAATACAAGAAGCACTGCCTACAAGCTATTTCAAAACCGCAACTCTACGGCGGCGATAGGGAAACAAAACCTTTTGACAGGTGAGTTGATGGCTGCATACTGAAGTATCATGTTACATTTATCTCCTCACCAAAAGAGACAATACAAACGTGATGCTGGATGACTGAAACCACAAAGTATGCAGTCACTGTTTTGGATATAATTGTCTACTTTCATCTTATGAGGGTTGTGGGAACATTCTGAACAAATTAGCCAGAATACCGCAGTATTGAAATTCAATACCAAATTAGTCGGTATTCCGGTATTCACGGATTGTTAGTCGGTATTGTTCGGTATTAAAAAAATACCACGGTATTCGGTAATACCGAAATACCGCCCAAGCCAACGTGGACAAGCTGTTAATTAATTGTTTGAAATATTCACTAGTATGCCAGTGATGTGATAGGAAATGTATAAATGGAAAAATTCTCTTTGTTGTTTTTAATTTTACTGACCTTTTCAATGAATGAATTAACCCTGACAAATGATGGCATTATGTGTGACACACATTTGAGAACCCACAATTATAGTAAGGCATCCTTTTTGTATGTCTGGAACGGAAAGGAACATGGATGTTGAACATGCACAATTTCTGAGCCCTTGGAATATTTTAATGTAAAATACATGTACGTGTACTTGTCCAAAAAAAAATCTGCACACACTGTATGACCACCGTATGGACAATTACATGTGAGTATACATTTATCGAGTGGAACAGCCCGGGCCGATTTGGAAGCATTTCTTACCCTTTGTCACTTGTGTTTCATCAAATCTCCATGTTCATCTTTTTTTAAGGGCTTTCTTTGATTTTACAAAGATCGTGGGCGCAGTATCTGACTTCAACAATCATTTCAACAGAAGCCCAAATGAGTCTTACATGTTTGGAAGAAAATACTGAGGCTAGAAATGTGCACTGCACTGTTTGGAGCTTGCTGTCGGTTTCTGCCATTTGGCTTTGGTCAGCCACACTTTTGATGTCCAAATTTATCTATATTTGTCTCCCATTGGAAAGTCATGTAGGTTTGTCCAATCTTAATAGGTGTTGCTGCAGGCTACAGCAACAAATCTGGTCAGCATGATCTCTAAACTCACCCAAAAATTGGACTGATTTTTTTAACTCGACTCAGGACAAGCATTGACGTGCTTGAGGTGTGCGATAATTTCTTCTGAAATGTACATCGCAGATATACATTTCGCTAAAAATTAGTTTTTATTTCTTTCTCTGATTTATTAATCAAAATGACTTTTACATTCTGGATATCATTTAAACACTTTCAGTTTTCAATAAAAATAGTAAAAACTACTTTCCATGTGCCTTTTCGTTTGTTTGTTGGTTGTGCCTTATGGGCAAATTAATTGCTCATCACTTGGACTTTGAAGGTTTTTCAGGCTTGCATTTCTTGTCTAGGATGTGGGTATTTATTCCTGAATCTTGTTGAAATGCTTGTTTATTGCACATCTTTTTGATGATGTTGACCCACTCAGTCCTGGTAGAAGGAACTGGACTTTCATCCATTTGCTTGGTGTATTTTACGAACTGCACGAATGAACAAGGCTCGCTTTGTTGGGTGCAGGGCATTGCATCTGACCACATGCGCGATGTGTACTTACGAAAACTGATGTGGTGGAAATCCTTGAGTGGGATGGTGCTAAAATACACATAGCATGTAGATCACCATGTGGAATGCCATGTGGACTCATTGTTAGTATTGTACCTACATGTACATTACGATGAAGAGAGTCATGTATTGGTGTTGGAGTCTACAAAAAATAGTCAAATTATCATATGAAAGTGGACAGGTGTTTGAAACCAGTTTGTGCCTTTAAAAACAGTGCTCATTATAGGTCTGTCTACCAATAGGAATGGGTTAAATTTATGAATGGAAAGTTAAATTGGATTTGCTTCACATTTCCAACCACCAATAATAATGTTTCTGGCTGTTTGTTTATGAAGCTGACTTTTTGTGTCTTCTTGGTTTCAGGTAACCACCAAGCTTGAGAACCCTACCAGATACTATATACAACAATCTCAGAAAAGACAGGTGGAGCAGTATCTTTCTGCCTCTGCAGCACAAACAAGGATGTCTCCTCACCTGTTAAACCCTAGTCCGTCGTCTAACTCGCCATCACGTAAGCAAAGTGGCTCATTGTCCAGTCTGCCAAACAGCCCAATGTCAACTCAAGAGGTGAGTAAACATGAGTAGCTTTTTCTGGTAAAAGTACTTTTTGTGTAATGTGCAGTTTATTTTAAGTAGTAAAATTGTTGAAAATTTGAAGATGAATGCATTACAACCAACCTGTTGAAATGTTTGCTCATCAAATACGGTAGTAAGGGATTAAATCTGTGTTAGTTTAAGGGAGCTTGCCCGAAAGGTTGAACCACAGTTTGAACGCGGACACTGCGGTTTTCACAAGTCCTTAGCAACCAGGCGACTGTTCACAGCCTTTGCCAACTTACCATATCAAAGGAACTGACTAACAAAACCCACTATTGTTATTTAAATTTTACACGTTGCCCAGCTAGCGGAATCCGACCATGGCAGCTGCGGTGGGTTCCACAGATGCTTTGGAGAGCCGCGGCCACCGCATCTATTTTATTGTATTGGAATCCAGTCCCGTAGCCCTTAATTGTTGCACAAGAGTCATGTTCAGTCCTCGAGGTCCTTCTTTATAATTTGCACTTTTGTGCCACAGAATTTGTCAGTGCATGATTGGTTAGCCCAAATTCATGCACTTTGAAATAGTCGGTACTGGCCAAACCTGTTCACTGCTGTAATTACAAAGTCAATTGTCTTATTTTGAATTTCAGAGGCACACTTTTAAATTCCCAATGACTGCTGGTATTCCGATTAGAGCTTGCTATCCAATCTCAAAGAAATACTTTGTATAAATGTTTGAGGTGAACCCATCCCTTGCCATCTCCTTCACTCTTGCCCTGATGACGACTGTGCTCAGGCCTCAGCCAGCTTTGTCAAGCACAAACTGCTTCAGATCTTCGTCCAACTTTGGCCACAGAGGTTTGCCACCCCTCCTGGCTTTCAACTGTGAAGGAAGACGAACCAAGAGTTTCTTGTCATTTCTCCAACGCCGGATTATGGACTCGTTGATGCAGATCTCTGGCCCTGCCGCTCGGTTACCGTGCAGCTCAACATACTCTACCGCACGTCACTTGAGTTCAACGGTGTAACTGTGTCGCTTATTAAACGCCATTGTCTTGTGAGACAGTGAAGGATCGCCTGAGATGGCTGTTCTTTTATCAAGTGCGCGTGCCAAGCCAAGTAACCTCGGACCGCATCAAAGAGCTGCGATTGGTCCACTGGTGCAGGACAAAAATTGTGATTGGCTGAAGTTCTAAGATCAGAACCCCGGCCAGAATCCTTGCTGTTGATATATAAGGGAAACGATCCACCTGAACATTTATATTTCGTGTACCCTAGTCAAAGACAAGATTAAGATTTTAATGAAAGGGGTTTTGGCAATTAGTATGTACCACTACGACAACTATGACCTCACAAAATATACTTTACAATGAGACTACAACAACCCTCGCGACGTCAATGCGGTAGCAGTGATTGATCAAGAGGGGAAGAAGAAAGCAAGCCTCAAGAGAGATGCTGCAAGATCGTTAGCAAAAGTAATTGACAGCAAAGACATGTCAGTCAACCTGGACGTTGGTTTTCTTCTTAAACCAAAGAGGAAAGCATTTTTTCCACTCCCCTCGATTTGGCATGGCTCAACGCTGCAACTTGGGATTTTTCTGTCATGGCGGTGACAAAGAAGCAGTAAGACAGATTCTCTGCAAAGAATGCTTTGCCTTTGAGATTGCTTGAAACATCAACTGAGAATCAAAAAACAACCAGTCTTTTTAAGGGCTCCAAAGAGATAAAAGAGATTGTTTGCAATTGTGCTCGTCCCTAAGTTTTGACTGTGTAATCCCTGATCATAATTTTCAAATGAAGAATAAATAAAAGTGAAATCCGATAGACCCCGCTCTGTAAAATCCCCCGATGAGTTACATTTTCTAAGTGAAAATAGCACAGTCACAGAAAAACTACCAAACAAAACAGGAAGCATTCCCGAACTGATACTAATACACCATGGTATATCTGGATTTTTGGTAACACCTGGATCAAAGACCACCAGCCGACAATAGCTTCAGAAAGAACACACAGATTGCCGTGGACAGTACAGTAACACCATGCGGACCGCAGTTGGGTTTTTTCACGCTGCAATACATACTACAATCATAGAGCTATATTCACGCTGAAGTTACAAAGGGCCTTTGTGGAGAAGTGCGGTCGAATGAGCCTCGCCGAATTCACAGTGCTCCCTTCACACATGAACTAGCCCCACGCGCAGAAGGGTCCATTTTGGCAAGCTGCTTCGGTAGTCTTTCATGTTGCAACGATCTACCGATGTGCATGATGGTGCGCCTTATACCATAGTGCACCTTAAAGGCTAAGCTTTGAATCTTAATCTGAAGATATTTGAGCCCTGCGCCTTATAATGTGGGCGCCTTATATTCTGAAAATTACGGTAATGAAGGAAGCTTGCCAAATTACCAGAGAATTACCCACTACCAGAGAAAATGGTTAGGAGATTTCAGCTGGCAAAGAGAAAAATGAAGTGAAGGTGAAAGGAAAACTAACACACAATTTCTCATCAACTGGATTGAAATTCCCATATTTTTTGTCGAGAAGTTAATGGACGGAGTCTATATTAACATCTGAACACAGGTCAACACTCCAGGCTCAGTGCGCATGAAGATTAGGGGATCAACCCGTTGATGACGGAAATTTTTTTCTGAAAGCTGACTCCAAGAATTCCACCCCCGCTTGGCACGAAGGCCACCTGCCAAACAGCAAATTCTCGTTTTCTGGCCCTGCGTGTTCTGCACGCTTTGAATTACATAGTGAAAAGGCTCATTGTTTAGTGGAATGCAGCTCTACTCACGCTTCCACATTCCTGTTGCTTCTTTTCAAAGTGGGGACTATTGTGAAGTTGGTGATTATGATGCAGATTTGGTCTTATCATTTCTTGGCAACACACAAAGGCCAGTCACCATATATACAAGAGCCAGGGTATGCCTTCTTTCACCATGTTCGCTCGAGCGTGGGCCGAAAATAATAGCTGAAAAGCAGGCTGAGGATCTCAATTTTTACGGCGGCTCTTACCGTCTCCCGGCGCAAAGGGGTTAAGTAACCTAAAATGCTTTGAGCGTCCAAAGCAGTGAAATATTTCATGCATGTTGCATTTATAAAAGTACTGTTCTTAATCTCCAGTTTAAGTACTATAAATTAATAATTTCAACTGCTGAAAGTTCAAATGTAACTTTCACATCTGCTTGCTTTTGTTTAGCGTTGGAAAATGTTGGAAGGAATTAAAAACAGCTTACCCGTTATCTGAATGTCAGGCATCGGAATCTTTCAGTTTTAACCGGAATTCCATTTTTTTTCACCTTCAAATTTGTGGTCTTCGAGTTCAGTGTTAAAATGGAATAAATATTGGGGGGCAAGTTATAGGGGGGTAAATGCTAGTTGACCATGCAACCCAAAACTTCCTTAACACTTAGTGAAATGTATTCATTGAAACAATTCTATTTACACGACCCTTCGGAACCCTTTGAAATGTACGAAGAACTAATTTTGCGGATTCCCACAAAACCTGAATTCTCTTTGCATAACCAAAGCAGGGAACCAGTGAAGAGTGCTGTCGCCAGCTTGTGCTTCGCCACAGCCACTTTGCATGAATGGAAATTGGTACGTGTTTATTTATGTACATGGTCAAAGTACCGCACTGTACGTAGGTAGGTACACACATGCAGTCAGGAAACAAAATCGGAATCATGGCAGAAGGAAAGAACTTGAAGTTCATTGAGCGGGAGGCTGCCGATCCGAAAGAGATTGAATATATCAGTAAAAAACAAGTTGAACTGGTCGTGGTGTGACAAATTATTACTGGCTGAAACGGAAGATGAGCATGTGGTGGGCAACTGCTTTCATAAGCTTTACGACCCTGGAGAAGCATGGTGTGAGTGGTGTTGTATTCGTATCAAGTATGGTACTTTTGGAGTGAAAGCATTGATACAACATGCAGCTAAGTACTAGAAGCACCGCAAACACTTCCGTGAAAGAAGAACAAACTACATGTACATCGCAGGTTTTACCAGTCCAATTTTTTTTTTTTTAAAATGAGAAATGTCCTTATAATTGAGAAGATTTTGCTTCAATAAATTTGAGGTAAAGGGGCCACGAATTGCCTCAGATTGCACCACAGCCATCTAGAATCCAAAATTTTCCGGGACCCCTAAGTGGGCCCCGGACCCCACACCGTAAGGGCTTCGTGCTCTGCACTCACAGTAGTCCCCTGTGACTAATTTCATCACAAAATGTTTTCAGGTTCTTTGTTCATGCCCATTCACATGCCTGGAATGTGGAAATCCACACCATAAAAATCAGATTTTGTTGTCGGTGTTTGGAAAACAAGCTTTGTTGAAGTGTAACATCGTTTCGGTTTTTTTTTCCAATTAGCAATCTAAAGCAAAATCTCATAGCATTTCATCCAAAAGATACATTTGAAAATGTTACTCTGCATAGCACTTATGAAAGTAGTGAAATATTCTCTGAGGCGGGATATCAATTTGACACCACAGCGAGATCTTATAACTCGCTGTGGTGATGTACACATTCAACAATTTAACTTGCCGAGGCGAGAAAATAACTTTAAAAAAATTATAATTGGCCTTTATACGCTTCCGTAGGAAAACATGCTTGCCCTGCAATGCCATTTTAATTTCGACAGAACTAATATGCATGTACCTCGTTTACAACTTGTATACCACTTGTTACCTGAATAAAGCCTTACAACAAGTTCTTT